GTGATAATATCTGATATGTTATTTATTATATATAATTTTATTATATAATTATATGCATAAATAAATATTATGGCCATCTTATGATTAAATAAAGACAACAATTATATATAAAAATGGTGAAAAATGGGATCCACTACATGTGTTACAATTAAATATTTTATTGCAAAATCAATTAACTTTTATCTGTGTGGATAAAATGATCATTAGTGAAATAATTATAAGTGAAATAATCCTGTCTATAATAATATTATTAACAAATAATAACCTGTAAAATAATAACAAAATCACGTGATTAAAAAATCTTTACTACTATTGGAACTTTTTTGATTATATATATTAAACCAATTTTGTTTTAATATTTTTGTTTTCTTAATTAAAATAAACAAAATAATTAATAAAAATTCTCAGAATATTTAATATTTTTCAAATGACTTAAATGACAGGTCATTTGAGTTGCAAATGACAAATGACAAATGACTTGTCATTTGAGTCATTTGTTTATTTCAAGTCATTTGCCGAACACTGCATTCTAGTGCTCTTATTGAATTATTAAAAGAATGTGCAAATAGTTGGGTAACTTGAATAAATTTATCAATATCATCATTATTACTGGTCCAATTTTTGAAATTTCGCTGAAAATGCATTGCATTACATACATTATTACACGCTCTACATATCTTATTACCTTCATTATCAAGAACTACCATATAGTTTAATATTAATAATATAAATCATAATTCTTAAAATTTTCGTTTAAAAGAATAATAAATTCACTATACCTCATTAATATATTCTAATGTAACTAGGGATGCCAAAAGTTCAGTTATAACCGATTATAACCAGTTTTTATAAGTTCGGTTACGGTTCAGTTTCAGTCCAAGACTGACCGGTTAACCGTCAGTTTTATATATAAAAAAAACCGACAAAAAAACTGATCAGTTAATCATATATTCCAAAAGAAAAAAATGTTTCTTTCATTAATTATATTGAGAATATTATTAAAAATTATGATTTTGGTGTTTATTTATATATATAGTATTCTTATTTTTGAAATAATAGGAAAATTTTTTACACGTTGATCACGTGATTTTTCGTTCCGCTGAAAAAAATCGCAAAATTGACATTATCATAAAAAAAATTATAATTTTAAGGAATATTATCAAATAAAATTATAATTAACACTTCTAACATTAGTTCATTCAATTTTGCAGTAATTTTGCGATCGGTTTTGCAATTCGGTCTTATCGGTTGGTTTTGCGGTCAGTTCAGTTTCAGCTGAAAACCACGGTTTTAAAACTGAAACCGAACTGAACCAACCATTGGCATCCCTAAATGTAATATTGTTTGAACTTTTCAGAATTACAGGCTTTTTTTGATTTACTCTTTTCCAATTTTGATTTTCATTGTCCCATTTATCTATACATCCATCAATCCAATTTGCTCTATATACTTTGCCAAACTTTCCATCTGCAATATATTCGATATTAAAAAGTCTATCATAAGGTATCCATTCTAATGCTTCCTTTGTATCATATCGAACTGATAATTGAGTATCTTGAATAAATTTATCAATATCATTGTTACCGCTAGCATTTTCATCCAAAACCATCATCATATAATCTTTCGTTCTTGGATCCTAATGTAGTCTAAAAACATAATATATTAATGAAAATTACAATTTTTTAAGTCTATTAAATAATATGTTTATACCTTTTTTTCTCTAATGTAACATTTTTTAAGCTAGTTAAATTTTTCAGAATCACAAACATATTTTGATTTACTCTTTCCCAATCTTTATTTTCATTATCCCATTTACTAATAATTCCATCAACCCATTTTGTTCTATATATTTTGCCAAACCCACCTTTTGCGATACATTTAATGTCATAAAATCTATCATAGGGTATCCATTCTAATAGTTTCGTCTGTATATTTATGAGCTGATAGCTGAGTACTTTTAATAAATTTATCAATAGTATTATTATTACCACTAGACCATTTTTTAAAACAATGCTGAAAATGTTTTGCATCACACACATATTTACACTTTTTACATCTTTTATTAACATGTAATAACTTGGTTAGCTTCTTAATACGCCCAATAAAAGAATCCATTGAAATATTTCTAAGTTAGGACTAAGTTAATTAAGTTAGAACTAATAAAACAATTTAAATATAATAAGAAAAGAATATTGAGAAAATTGAAGAATTTATCATTCCTTTTTTATCAGAAAAATTAGATACTGGTGAAAGTTATAATGAATTAAATTCTACAAAGAAAAAATTAAAAACTGACCTTGATTTTTTAAATGAATTAATTAGTCCTCAGTAAAACAAATTTTCTCAATTATTTATTGATAAAAAAATAACCACCAATTTTTTAAAAGAATGCATCACAGAAGAGTGAGGTTTAAGAGGTTTAATTATGAATCTAGTTAGTGTCTTTGATTTCATAATTCTTCTAAACGTGAGACAAGTATTGCAAGAATTAAATAGTTTAGATTTTAGAAGACTATGATCCTTACAAAAAACAGGTTACTCCAACAGCCAAACATTTTCACTATATCATTGACGGCACTGACTATGTACTTACTCTAGAAAGAAAAAAAGATATTACTAAAATTTTTATCAAAAACACTCAACAAATAAAAAGAATAGAAACTGTATACAATATGATAAATGATTGGCCAAAAACTGAAGAAATACTAGAGGAGTATGAAAAAGAGGATATTTTTACAATGACCTCTATGATAATGAATTAAATCACAAGCTAAAGAAAAAAACGCTAGATTTAGAATCTTGCTTAAAGAGAAAGAAGAAGAAATAAAAAAACTTAACAATCAATTAGAATCAAAAAAAATAATGATAATAATTCTGCTCAACAATCTACTTCAAAAATAAAGTCAGAATCAGAGAATAAAATAATCGCTCTTGAAAAAAAAAAATAAATCATTAATAAATAGTTTAAAAGAACATATCATATAGACAAACAATCTTTTTTATCTAATGAAGTTTGCGTGGATGGCAATAAATTAAATAGAAATACTAAAATATTATTTGGTTCTAAAGATAAATCTAGTAACATAAATAAATTAATCATAGAAATTTTGATCATTTAATCCAAATAAATTTAACCAATCTAACGAGTTTAAAAGAACTAACCTTAAAAAAAAGCAAATGGGACAATATTAAAGGTGCACAAAATTGTCCTTCATTAAAAACAGTTATTATTGTAGAATGTGAAGATGTCTCCTTAAACTGATTGAGAAACACTGGAGTTGAAAATGTTTTCATCAATTAACAACCATTTAATGGGGAAAAATATAATTTTAGAACTCTGTCAATAAAAACAATTGTGTACTTATTAATTGTTAAAGATAACAAAGAAATTTTTTTTATCAATGCATGATGAATGAACATGTGTAATAATTATTCATTTAATGATTTAACTCATTAAGCACTATTTTAGGTTTACGCCATAATCAGGACTATACATGTTGCCGAAACTCGGCAATTTCGGCATAATTTCAGGATTCGACCTTTGGCCAATCATTCCGAAACGAAACTCTGGTCGAAAGTAGAAAACTGAGCCGAAATTTTCTGGCCAGCATTATTGAATTTCGGCCCGCATTACAAGTTTATGTAACATTTGTGTAACACACAAAATTCCATCGCGTAGGCATTTTAAGGCAACCTTCCTTTTTGATACTCTCATTAATTCTTTGTTAAAATAATTATAACTTAATGGACCACTATTCCATTTTGCTGAATATATTATAGTAAAATCATCTTTTCCTATTTCTTCAACATTGTTAAATTGATCGTATGGGATCCATTCAAATATAATATCATTCGGATCATTAATTTTTGATTGAATCAAATCATCAATTTTTTCATTTCCACTGGTCCACTTAGTGGAATTTTCTTTGAAATATTTTATTTGACATGGTTTACACCATTCATACTCTGCATTTAAATCATTCGTATATTGTTCATCGCATTCCCTTGTGTAACATTCTTACCTGGTGGCTAAACTTTTATCCGAAGTCACGCAGGGCATAATTCTGGCCGGCACTACAATGTTGGCCGGAATTACAAAAACTTTCGGACCCCATTAAAAAGAAATTATATTTCGGACCACGTAATAAAGATTTTGTCCAGATTTTCGTACTCCGACCACAATTTCAGATTTTGGCTTGATTTTCGAATTTTGGCTGAGGTTTCGGACCTAAGTTTTGGACTTTCGGATTCGGCCATAATTTGTAAATTTAAATGGGATGGATGAGACTAAATCTTAATTCCTTAATTCAGGCCAGAATTAAATGATCGGTATGAAATTTCCATTTTTGGAAACTTGTGTAACCAAATTTCGAGATTTTCCAAAATTTTCCGGGAGCAAAATTTCCTTTTGGAAATTTGTGTAACGTCACGTGACTCCGACGCAAATGGGATTAAATGGGTATTTGGGATGGGCGGAGGGTGAGGTCTTTTAGACATGATGTTAAATCTAGTTTACAGGATTTTTAACCACAGCACTCTTAATTGTATAGTTATCCACTAGTAATAGTTGTTTACTTCTTTTATGTACTTGTCATTGGTTACTCCTTTCTGAAATAAAATAAATTTGGGATGGGATAGGATATGGGATTCTCCCAACCCCATTAATGGGGGCAAGTATAACCAGGACATTTTGTACTACAAAAAAAATGCAAATATGTGTTCAGTATTTTGATTATAAATAAAATTTAGCTAGTACAAACTAGTCACCAATATTACAAAAGAACAATATTAATAAACACAATAAAGCGCCAAAAATAACCATAAAACTACTTTATTAGTTGGACTTGTAACACCAACAAATTAGATTGCTGATCTTCTCATGATTATTGTTTGAAAATCAGTTGTTTTCTTTCCTCAAAAAGTATTTAAAGAAACAAAATGATTAGGCTTATTGCCCACCATTTAAGTTTGTTGATTCTTGCCAATAATAGACAAATTAGATAAAAAAATTAGAACATCTTTTTTTTAAGCCCATTTTACTATAAAAAGACCTGGTTTTTCAATTATTTTGATAGGGAAGGAATCACCATCATGAGCAAAAAAAATAAAAAAAACGAGGGGAAACAAAATGAAAAAAATGATAATTTTTCCAAACTTATTAAAGAACTTCTTAAAAAAATTGCCGAATTGAAAAGTACTGTGGATACTATAAAGGAACAAAATGCCGAATTGAATAGTACTGTGGATACTATAAAGGAACAAAATGCCGAATTGAATAGTACTGTGGATACTATAAAGGAACAAAATGCCATTATCTTAAAGAGTATTAAAATAAAAAACAATGAAAAAAAAGAGAAAAGTACAAATACAAATATAAATAAGAAAAAAAGACAAGCAAAAAGTAGAAAAGAAAGTAAAGAACCTATAGTACTTTCAATCGAACAACAATCTATTGTTGATCTATTAAATAATAATAAGATTGCTCATAATGCAGAAGTATTAATCTCGAAATACCCGGGATATTTACAAAATTTACAAAGTCATGAACAACCATTGGATCCTAATACAAAAACTAAAGGATTGAATGGTTATATGCTCTTCCGATTATTTTGTCAAAAAGAAATAAGAGCTTTCCTCGAAGTAGAGAAACTAGTTAACGAATCACAAGTCGCCAGTAGTTACATTCATAAAGTATGGTACGAAATTTATACCCAACATAATAGAAATTTGTTTTTTGCCTTGGAAAAACCAAGAAGAAACGAAGAAATTAATTTTGCCGTCCAAATTTCTAATAATACAACGACTATAGAACCAATTGTTGTTGATAGTGATGACGATGAAAAAATAGAAAATAGTCATGAATTGGGTTCCACAAACGAATCACAAGACAACGAAACTAGTTCAAAAAGACGATGTGATGAAAATGAAGAAACTCTAGGTCCTCTTCCTTCTCCAAAACGTTCTAAAAAGTCAATTAGTATTAATGCATTAATTGATTAATAAGGTTTGCATCTTATCTACATTGCTTTCAATTATATTTTTTATTCGTATTTCAACTTCGATTTATTCCAATTTTATTTGATAAACTCACTCTTTATTTATCTCTTTTAGGACGAAAGAAATATATGAAACTCTAGAAATATCTTTCCCACTATCGTTCGAATTTTATACAAAGAAATTTTTGTTCTAGCTATAACTTATTCCCAAATATTGTCACTCTTTTTCGTTTTTTTTTTCGAATCCAAATTAAAATAACACAAAAACATAGAAAAAAAGAGATAGAAAAAGTTTTTTTTTTCGAATCCAAATTAAAATAACACAAAAACAGAAAAAAAAAGAGATAGAAAAATTATGTTATAAGTACACCAATCATATTGCGTTCGTTATTTAAATTTTCCTAAATTCGTTAGCTTGAAAATTAATTTTTTAGCACTTTTAAAAAAATAACAATTAAATAAGTTTTTTAATATAAAAAAAAAAATAAGTCAATAAGATTTAATAAAATACTTTTTATAATTAAGCTCAAATTTTAATCTATGTGAGGCAGATGTGTTTCATGTGTAAAAAAGCGGAGATCATATCTCAATAATAAACCTTAGTGGTAATAAAATTTTGGTGTGTGAGAGCTGTTATGACCCAGCTGACCCTCAACAACAATCCGAAATAATATACATCGAAAAGATAATACTAATAAACAAAATCAAAATACAAAAGATGATTCTTCATCTTACACTGAAGTTAATGAAAGTAATCTTTCTGAAAACATAACAAATGAAGATGATGCAGTTGGAGAACCCATAGACCTAAGTAATGTTGTAAAAAATCTACTCATTTCTGACTGTCCTAAAAATGTATCTCCAGATATTGATTAATACCGCAAAATGTTTCATAAATGAATCTGATTATTTAGTCGCCCAGAAGACACTAGGGTAATAATTACTGATCGAGGATCGGGTAAAAGTAAGAATACTGCCATTTATATTCTAGCACGTATTGCCAGTGACCCTGATTATGAAGGCTCCTTCCTAATGAGGAATTGAGATGAACCAGCTACCTTTTATAAAAGGCTATAGTATATCCCATGGGTGACCTATAAGTGACCTATGGGTGATTAATAAGAAAATAGAAAATCTTCGCGCTCATCAATGAGCGCTAATGCCAATAAAAGAAAAGATTATAAAAATTTTCACACTCATCAATGAGCATGAATAATTATAAAAATTTTTTATGTTTGTTTATTACTCAGTTCAAAAGTCTGAGGCAGTATATCAAATATTTTTTCTGGTAATGGAATCATGAGCATACCACCTCAGTCACACCATGGGTTATATTTCCTATTACCCATGGAATTCTAGTATACTCTATGGATTGGCACTCATTAATGAGCACCAAAATTTCAAAAGTTTTATAATAATGAAAATTTTTATTGCTATATAAAATGGATTTTTTAGCGCTTATTAATGAGCGCCAAAAATTCCAAAGTTTTATAACAATGAAAATTTTTATTGCTATATAAGAATGGATTTTTTAGTGCTCATTAATGAGCGCCAAAAATTTCAGAGTTTTATAATAATGAAAATATTTATTGCTATATAAGTAGCACTCATTGATGAGCACCAAATATTTCAATGTTTTATAATAATAAAATTTTTATTGCTATATGATACCAGCGATGATCATATTTATCACAAAAAATTTTCAGCCCTACATGATATTTATAGTTATTTAATCTAAAACTAGTAATATATATATCTTGGCCGGCATTAAAAATTAAACATGTGACAAATAAGGCATGACAAATAGGATTTTACATATCTCTGTCTCTAGAATACATAGTAGAAATGGGATGTAATACCAGTGACAAATTTTTAAGGTCACGTGAGGTGGAAATTAATAATGGAAGTTACTTTAACACCACTTATATATTATAAAATTTTATAAATATAAAAAATATACAAATAACTTTTAACATTAATAAATCAATATATTTTACCAATTATTATATCAGATATTATACAACATGAAGACATACGTACGTGATATATTTAGCTTCCGTCATTAAATTCATTTGATAAGTGCAAGCTAATCTTATCTGATACTCAAACATTCTTAAGGATAGGAATCAATAAATTTCAATTGCTTTTACTTTATAGGCCGTTCTGCTCATTAATAATGCGACATACGACATTAGCGAAAAATTTAGTTCATGTGACACTAACTTTAAAAGCTTGCTTTGTGCGATACAATATTTTTTTTGATAGCACTCTATCAAAAGTTGAGGACTATAGTAATAATAATTGAAAAGAACTTTATAATAAAATATTTACTATTATTTAATTTTGTATCTAAATCATAAATCGTCACATACAAAACATAAAATGATAAATTTTAGTGGAATGTTTTATTTTTTACAATAGTAAAAACAAAAAATAATTTTTTTCACAAAAGTAGCACTCGGTATAATACGAACGTTTGTTAAATTGTTACTGTACTTTATTTCTTTATAGTAAATTGTACATAATATTAATTGAAAGTTCATGTGACTTCAGATTATGAATATTAACATCTTACTACATTAGAAATGGAATCACTTTAAAGCTTTCAACATGTCGTAATAAAGAATATTTTAGCAATTTAAAATTAGAATTGGCTAAAATAATCCACAACGAATAACAGGTTTCTCCTGAAGAAGAAGAATCAATTAATTCTTTAATAAAAAATAACTTCAGGTATCATTGTTATAGATACTGTATTCAAATTATTTGGATCATAAATACCTAGGGATGGAAACGTTCCTTTCGGGTCAGTACTTTTGATTCCGAAACGGTTCTGATAAATTTTTGATATGAACTGACTCAGTTCTGGACTGAAATGATCAAGAACCAATTATAGAACCGAACTGGTTCATCCGATTCGAAGCGGCTCCAGTCCATTTAGTAGTATCGGTTCAGAGCCGAACGGACTGAGCGAGTTGTTCCTATCCCTATGAATATTGAATAAGAATAATGAATAATTATTATGATAAAATTACTGCTCCTGCGGCTAAATTTTGCAGCAAACTTGCATCATAATGATACATTCTCTCTTTAATTTGTACTAAAAAAAATACATGATAAAAAATACAATGAAAGAGGGAAATTTTTGGTTTCGAGCTTTATTAAATTTTAAATGATGATTTTTTCTTGATTAAAGATATTAGTGATTTGTCGATCAGTACGACTTTAAAGTCTATTTTTTTTAGGGAGTATTCCATATGAAAGATTTCTTTAAGTTCCTTATTTCGATTTCAATCGATTCCAACGGTTCTACCGTAAGTTTTATTATAGAAGTTTTTGATACTTTGGTTTTATTATGAAGAGAAGATTTATCTTTTTTATTTAAACTTTTTATTTTAATTTAATTTCCTTAATGGTTCATACATTCTTGTATATAAGGGAAGTTTTTTTTTTAAAGGAATAATTTTACCTTTCGTTATAATCTAACAAAAAATTTTAATTTTTTATATAATTTATTGTTCTTCCTTAATAAATTTATTTTTTTGATTAATGTGTGAAATAAATTTATATTATTATTTGTACTTAATTTGTTTTGGTTGCTTTCTGGTAATTTTTTTTATAATTGATCGAAAAATCACCTGATACACTAATTTGAAACAGGAGATAATATTAATTGCTTGGACTTTTTAATTTGAAGAAAAGAATGAAGTGTAATATTTAAATAAAATTACCGATCACATAAAATTGATTCATTAAAATTAATAGAGCCCATCGAACCATATTAAATAAAAGTCTAGTGTATCAGTTTTAATAAATATACTATAACTATGGAGGGTTTGATGTATTGAAACAATAGTTGAAAAGTTACAAAATGAAAATTTTTTATTAAATTTTTACTAAAAGTTGTTATTTTCAATTTACACAATTATTTAATCACATTGAAAGCAAGACTCTGATGTGAACAATCCCATTTTGCTGCTGAAGACGTCGATTTTCTCATGATTAAACTGAATTTAATTGCATGTTTATTTTAAATAAGCGCACGTAAATTAAATTGCTAAACGAGTTAAATTATGTTATAAATTATTGTGGCCATCTTATTTTTAGTAAAGTAGAATTTATTTATTATATAGAATAATAAGCAGGTTTATACTAATGCGTTTGAACTCATACATCAGAAAAGAAATTCATATTCCCAAAACAGAAGCTTAAATTGAAATTCCTATTTATTGTAGAAAAAGAATTTTGATGCACCAATTGATTTACAATATTTTTTTTTAAATTTATAACTTTATTAATATTGTAATATTTACGTTTTGTAATTTATTACAATGTAGACATTTCTAGAACATCCGTTAAATAAAGTATCTATCTACTAATAAGAAACACCTAATGCTAAATAAATCGTAAATTAAAATGCAAGATATAAAAAAAAAGAAAAGAAAAGCTAAATTAAAAAAAAAAATTCTAATGAATAAGAAAATCTAGTTAGTCTCTCCAGGTTGAACTGTGTTATCGGCTCAATACAACTTTCTCTATTAAAGCCGTAAGTTATACTCTACAAGGACCAATGAATCGTCAATCCATAATAGAAACCTGACCGTCCTTATTCATCATTACATAACGTAATCTCTAATCTAAATCTAAATCTTACTCTACATCCGCACGCGTAATCATTTTCTTTTTCTTGCGTTTCTTCCTATTCAATATTTGTATTAATTTGTAGGTACCAGGTGACTTATTGTAGGGTACTGTATATGGAGATAATTAAAGTAAGCTTTACGTGTCTAGTTTTTCATTAACTGATCATTAGTTTTGAAGGAATATTTATTCTTAGTATCGATTATTTTGATGTCATGATATTTGGATAAAAAAATACTGTGCAGTTGTTATCTCATTCGAGTCATCCGAATTGGTACTCTCTTTTTACGATTTCGTAGACGCTAAAGGTCGTGACGGTAGTCTTTTTGCTAAAACATTAAGAGTACTAATTTCTTCAAATTTTTCTCGGCTATTTCCTATATGTGATGAAGATGTTGATTGTATCTGCGTAACTGCTGTCGCTGGCATTTCATCCATATTCACGTTCTGGTCCATCGCGTCGAAATATAATTCTTCACCGCCATCTGAAACGTCATTCGACTTTTGCGAAGGTGAGATATTTGTTGACTTGAACTTGAAATGAACTTTTTTCTTTTCTTTCGATTGCTTTAAGATAAATTTCTCCTTCTTTCCGAATAGCTCTTGTTGACTTTTCATTTGTAAACCGCAACCTATATCTTCTTCCATCGTTGATTTATAAATCGCTCCCATCATCTTAAATTCATTGTGAAAATATATTGAAGATCCATACGGCCTTATTGCCTTCCTGAACATGGCTTTGTAAAAGTTGACGTGCTTTGTTATACACTCGAATTCCTGACTTGTCGCAATAAAAATTTTTTAATAAATTATTATGAGAAATTATGTATTTTACCATATATCATTCAAATGCATAATAAATATTAATTTATTTGGGATCTCTAAAGCCAGAAATATAAAATTATCAAATAAACTTTCTTAAACTTTTGAACTTTTGAACATATAAGTAATTACAGTAAAGAAAAAATAAAATTTTTTAAAATTCATTATTTTATTACACTTATGTCGTTCATGTGTAACGTAAATCGGAAAAAAAAATTTTCAAGGTAACATTCAGCTTTTTCTGTTGCTGTTGAGTTTATTAACCATTAAATAAAGTTTTCTAAATTTATCTATTAAACTATGCTTTGTAAATATTGCAAACAAGAATATACTGGAGATGGATGCTGTAAAGCATGTAATGTAAAACGTTTTCAACAAGCTCATTTTATCTCTTACTGTATATTACAGGAAAATCAAAGATTATTATTTAGTTTATTAAATTAGTTAGTTTCCCAACTTTTGGTTATTTATTTAAATTACGGTAAAGTTTTTCTCATAATTTATATTATCTCTTCTCTTTGTCTTTATTATAATGTTATATTGAGTGATAGGATAATTCGATAAAGTTGGCATCATATGATTGTATTAAATTGAAATAAGTTTTACAATCATTTTATTCTCACGATTAAAATTTTTAATTAAAAAGTGGTTTTGCTATAACAGATAACGAATTATTAATATTCAATCAGACTTATTGTGTTTATTTAAGATAAAAATTCTTAACTGGAAAAAATTTTAATGATTTATTATTTTATTTAAGTGGATAGTTAATAACCTCAGATAATGTGTCAATCAGACAAAATAATAGGTAATATTCACGATCCTAAGTCCTGATAAGTGTAGACATTGCACATTTAAGATCTTTCTCTGATATTTTGCAATAGTTAAAATTTTTATTTTAAATATTGTTTATTCCTTTCTTTTGATTAATAGAGTTTGTACTTGAATAATTTATATGTTGTGAGATGTAAATTGATACCTGGAGACGTGTTACCTGTATCGAAAATACTACTGTATTCATAAACTTTATAAAATGGCACAACCAAGTATTCCATAATAATCACTTTTTTTATTGATGAAATTATTTTTTATTCTATAAGTAAATAAATAAACTACACATATGATGGAAATTTTATACTTACCGTATTTGATTTATGTCTTGTAATTTAAAGTCTAATCAATCTGATATTTTAGGATTACGTATTTTTAATGTGATTATAAATTAATCCTCTGTGTGGATTGGAATCGATTCTGCAAAAACAAAATCCAACCAGAATCTCGATTATCGAATAAAAAATCGAAACTATAGTACCGGCCCGAATTACGAGATTATAAACCACGTGACATCGGATATGAATTGTTATACTAAAGTTTTAATTCCGGCCAGAATTATAAGCTTGGCCAGAGTTACCGCCGATCACTGATTATTCGATGCAATAAACGTTTTATTTTAATTTGCAAATCCATAAAATTTTAATAACCAAATGATTTTTATATGTTGAATTTGTGATCATTGGAAATTTTCCTGCCACAACTTTAATGATGCACAATCGATTAAAAACGATTAATCGAAATCGAAAATCGAATTTTAGAATCGAAATTTGAGAAACGATTAATCGCGATTAGTCGATTCTAAAATCGATTCTAATTGTGGGAATCGATTCACCATCCCTAATCTCCTGTCGCGCTAAGTGTCACTCATAGTTACCTTCATACTAATTTTTCATGTGATAACTATGACCGAGAATCTTCGCATATTTATTTCCCGGTCTCATATAGATAACTGTGAAATCCCTAATTTTATAAGTATTATTTAAAAAATCATAATAACTTAACAATTTGCGCTTTATTTTATTTTTATTTCAGTACTAAATGACATACTTTATTAAAAATTTTTATTCGATTACTAATTGCCTAATTCTGATTCCTCTTTTCAATCATGTTATTTTCGTCATGTTGTCCAATTAAATCAGATGCTTTGGAAAATCCTGAAAAAAAAAAAATAAATGATTAGTTCTGAACAATAAAATTAAAAGTTTTAACAAATGATTATTTACATACCAATTTATTTGTATAGTTAGTTGAATCCTTTAGTGCTGATTTTTGGTAGAAATTAGAAGAGAAACATTGTCTCGTTTACGTTTATTTGATAGATTGATGTTGATAAGCAGATACTTCTGAAATTGTTTTATATCGTGAAAAGGTCATCTGCTCATCAAGAATAGCACCAGATTCAACAACGCATTGAATGATTAGTAATTCTACGATCTTTAAAATCAAACCCTATAACAGTAAAGTCTTAATATATCGGAATTGGGTATAATTAAGATATAACAAATTTCTTGATATAACGGATTTTTGACAAATTTTACTAATGGAACGGATGGTTCCATTATATCGAATTTCACTGTATATAAATAAAATATTATTATGGTTGTAATAAATTTTGTATTCAAACAAATAAATGGAATAATCGAACAATATATATTAATACTTTTTTTATGCAATGAGAAAAATGTAAGATACCTCTTATTCAAATTACAATGATCCAAAGTACAGTAAACTTGAGTGATACATCTTATAAAATTTTGAGAATAAACTGATTGAAAAGAAAAAGAAAAGATTTATACTCCATTTTATGCATAACAAAAAAAAATGTAATGGGAAAAAAAATTTTTTCCTACTATTGTAAAATTTCGGCTGAACTGTATTACATTCATTAAATGAATAATATAGAAAAGTTAGATTATCGATTATGCATATTTTTATTTTTTTGCTGAAGAAAATAAATAATTTATTTTTCCATCTAAAAATTGATTGTACTTTATAATAATTTTTGAACTACAGATAAGAAAATTTCATATAACATTGTATATAAAAATAAAAAATATATATAAATAAATCTCTTATTCAACAATCCAAAAAAGTCAGTGTATAATAAATTTGGTGATGCTTCCTAAAAAAAATTCCCATAATCTCCAGTCGACGATTTTAATTTTTAATATCATAGTAAAATTTAACGAAAATGTCTAATTTCGTAATTTCAGCTCTCATTTGAATTTTGCAATTTTGAAGATATTCTCATGATAGCCAGAAATTTAGGAACTGGCTCCAAATTATGAGTACTAATAAATTTATATATATATACAGTATATAATTTCTCCGTCAATCATCAATCTGTCTCTCGCAAATTGCGTTAATTTATGTGACAAGTGACGCAGTCAGGTATCTGACGCATGTCAGTTATCACATGACGCAAATCGACACCTGAGGCACAACATATACAGTCGACCCTCTCTATAATCACCCCAGATATAGTCACATCCCCCTTATGAGCACATTTACGTTACCCATTAAATAGCAAATACGAAATATACAGGAAAAAATTCAGTTACAGAAATTAATAAATCAATTTAAATCTGATTAACGAATTCTTTAACACGTGTATTTCTTCTTATATTCTTCATAACAGTTGTAACGTATTCACATATCCACGGATTTTTGGAATCACACGATGATCACGATATTTTTAATACTTTTAATATTTTACGATCTAGTTTGTAAAATTTATTAAACATTATGTGCAATCTTCACATATTATGCTATTGGTACACAGCTTTATAACAATATTATACTCCTCAAAAAGCGTTAAATTGTTATTTAGTAACTGCGAAATTGACAACTTCCAAGTTAGACAGTTAGACACGTAATTTAAACTTATTTATAGATATAAAGTGAATTTCAATTAATCTTGTAAACCAAAAATTGTTAGGTCATTAATATATCTTTTTATCAAATAATTTTATTCATTATATACATACAAAATTTATTATTATTAATAAAATTATGAGAATATACTATAAATTGTATTTACTTAATGATACGTGCACTTTAATAACATAGAAATAATTGAGTTAATCTTTAAAAACTAAAAAGTATTTCTGCTCAACAAACCGCAGCACATGATGTTAAAATATGATGATGACTGGCCTAAAAAAAGTCAAATGACGTTATTACCATAAAAAATTACTTATATTGCCTAAGATACTGATGAAAAAACCAAGTCACTGATATAAATATAAACAGCGCTAGCCTATGAAATGAAATTTTTTTTTCAAATTCAATCCATTTTAGATTATTTTTCATCCTATTTCTGGCAAAACAATACGCTTAAATTGGGATTGCCGGTTGATATTGATTTATAGTATCTTGCGTAATCTTTCCAATAGTTTTTTTTATGGCTGCGGTTTGTTATATTACTCAAATCATGAGTCATTCCGAACAAATACCAAAAGGATCTTCATCACGTCCATGTGTTGAAAATCGGAGTATTAGAAAATGATGTAATATGTAATCAATTTGATTTACTCTTATCCGCCTCTTATTATTATTAGTCACCATGCATTCGATTTTTTTTCTACGAAAAATAATATTTAACATAAATAAATCATCAATAGTATCTTTTCGTAACTTTTTTAATTTAGGAATAGGTATTAATATAATGTATATATTTTTATCAAATAATTTTATTCATTAATTAGTTTTATTCATATGACATACAAAAAATTTTTTTTATTATGGAAAGAATTAATAAAATTATGTGAGAACGTATAATAAACTGCATTTTTTAGTAATATAGAATTATTTAACTACTAAAAAGGATCTCAATACGCAGCACTTGTTTTTTTATAAATATGACTCATTATTAAACATACGTACAGTAGTATATTGTTATGTAATAAAGTATTATGGTATCTATTGTTTTTATTAAAAAGTCAAAATGACGTTATCTTTCCATAAAAAAAAAGACTAATATTGCCAAACAATTGTATTAGTATGCAAGATTATTGTAATAAATCTTACTGATGCTACTGTAATAATATACGACAGGCTGTCTAGATTAGTCTGACTTT